TTATAAGCTAGTTACACAATCTTTTATAAAAAATTCAAACACAGTATCAAACAATTATTTGAAAAGTTACAGAAACTGTTTCTCATTTTAATGTGCACATAACTGCAAAAATAAAATCTATAAACGACTGATTTCATATTGTATCGTAAAAGAAATTTCCACAAAGGGAACGAATTTTATTCTGCAAACCGATGTGTCGGGAAAGCTGTGACAGGTATTGTTTGTGACGCAAACAGATTTACGAAGGTGAATACTATAGAGCTTGCACTAGATACAAATCCCGCTAAAGAATGTATTCCTGTGCGCTCGTTCCAGTAACTCTATCGGTAGGGTAAAGTAAGAAGCTAAGCTTCTTGAATGTTTCATAGCTGTTGCAATGCGCTGAAAGACGCAAAAACGAATGTAGCGTAACGTTTGCTTGCACAAGCTACTTTCTTCTGTGATAATATAAAGTGGCGTGCACCTTGTGCACCGAAATGTAACAATATTTCATCGATTTTGAAGAATTAATCTTACAAAACAATACTAATTACAAAGTATACAATATTAATTTTATATTGTAGATAATTTCATAAATAATTTTGGTTCTAGTGGTAAAAAGGAAAAATTTAATTCTTAATTAATGAATACTGATAAAATCTGACAGATAGTTTTGTCATCTATTTGAATAATAACATAAAAACATAATGTCGGAATTTATACATATATGTATGTAAACAAGTTAATTAACTAATCAAGTAAATTGTGACTTTACTTCGTAAGAGAGTAACGTGTAATTGGAAAACACTGGTTTGAAAGGTCCGTAACGAAACTCGTTTACTTGACATTTCGTGAGAGACAAACACAGTGGTTATTGTCAACGAAATACGGGCGAGGGAATAACTCTGACTTGTGCATGTGTCTATAAAGTTACGAACCAAAATACAATCCGAAAATGATTTCCGCAACTCGTCGTATCCTCATATCCTACATGCCACGGATTCTGTGAACAATATATATATATATATATATATATGACTTACCGGGATCTCTACGTAAACATTCAAGAAACGTTTCAATCTTAACTCTGACGACCGATGTACCATACAGCCAGTAATTAAATTTCAAAGTTCCCTTTTAGTCGCAGCGCCGCGTGCAAATACGATCGTCGAATTATAACGAGCTCGGACATAATATAAAGAAACTAAATCGATTCTATAAAATTATATTCTACGTATTTGTACCTGTACGTTATAAAGTGATGAGGTAAAAGGGGAATATAGAACAAAAGGGAGGCAAATGATTCGAGAAAAGGGTGAATTACCGGTGAGGCAAAATACCGTTAGCGACACTCGGTGAAGTTACGAGAAGGTCGCCTAGCTATTTGTAATTGTAATTAGCAAACCGGCTAATTCATTACCAAGAAATTCGTTACCAAGAAATATAGGATGCGCGGTATGTTATTTAACTACAGGGGAAAATCCAATAAGAGAAAATACAACAGACACTAATCATTGTAAACACATGACAAATCATGCATCTCGTCACACGCAAAAAGCAAAAAGGATATCTAATAACGAGAAAGTAGAACATGATAACTGTGTCGACAGGAAGGAAGAAAAATACAGAGCAAGGAAAAGAGAAACAAGAAAATGCAAAAGTAGTAGTCTGATAGTATTTCTCGTTAGAAATTTTAAATATATTTTTAGACTAAACATACATGATGTTTTTAAAATTTCCTTTTTATACCTTTCTTCATAGAGTATTCGAATCAAGAGTAAATTTTCTTTTAAAACGATACAAAAACAACACAAGAAACTGATACTTTAGTTATTTAAAATAAAAACTATTTTTAAATCATGCATCCATTACAAATATATAAAGACAGATAGCGGAAAGTTATAAATTGATGGCGTTCAATAATAAATTTTAATTAAAATTAAATAATTTATTCCATATTAACAAAAAAAATTTGAAAATAGAAATATATCTAAAACATTTTACGTATAATTAAAAAATACAAATATATATTTTTATAAGGAATGAATTAATATTGGATCTTTCCATCGTGTAGTAGAAATGCGATAAAAAAATTTTAAATCGAAAAATCTCGTACTAACGAGCTGAATCGCTTTTGAAATCTGAACATAACGAGCTGAGTCGAGCGCGTCTCGGTAAACGTCAGAGAATAGAACGAGATAAATTTACGGGATCATGAAACATGCTGGCCGGCTCGAGAATGTTAGCTGTTGTCATCTGGGAAAAAATACTGCGACAGGTTGCGACGTACGAAAAATAGAACATGTTAACGAAACTAGAGTTAGCAAGTATGCATTTAACTGCTGCTGTTCTTAATTTTCACGGTTTATCTCCTACTCCTTACTACTACCTTACTACTGTCCTGTACATCGCAGGCACTTTAGTCCTTTGGGACTATAAACATAACGATCCTACATTTCGTAAATTTTGTAGAACAAGTCGGTGAAAAACAGAATGGGTCCGACAATAATAATAATAATAATAATAATAATAATATTCTTCGTTTATTATATTTAATATGAGTAGATAAGGTATTTTTATAAATCAAATGTTTAATTATTCAAACCATAATTTTGATTAATAATAAATTTAATTTATCAATATTGGTTAATTATTGTTAACAATTAACATTGTAATAATAAATTTTACTCCAGAAAAAAAATATTTTTTAAACAATCATATAATACTTTTAGATGTTTTTAATTATAAAAGTCATTAATTAAATTAAAATTAATTAAATTAAAAATAGATTTCTAAAGAAGCATTGTACTTTCTTATAGAAATTATTTTTTCGTTTAAAATATAAAAGTAATATTAATATAAAATAAAACAATAGGAATTTTATTATCACGATAGCTTTTAGCACTTATCAAATAAAAATCGAGAAAGAATAGCATAACATAGCATCACGATGTTGAAAATTATAGAAAATCAGAAGAACGCAATTAAACATAAATATATCACAATTTTTATTTATGTGTGTTTATTTTATTTATTTATCCAATTATCTCATTTTGATTTCAGATTAAAAGCAAGAATTTAAAAGTTGCAATTTAAGATTTGCACAACTGAATCAGAAAGAAAATAAAATTTTATCTTATAATTTGTCTTGTTAGAGACTTTGAGATAAAAATGTTAATTTATTCAAAAATAACATTAAACATATAAAATGTATCATGAATAAAATCTTTCATTTATGAAATATTAGTTTTATTAATTTCTATGAAAAATATTCTTTTATTGGAGATTAGAGTTAGCAAATTACATAAATACACATTAATCCGTTAATATTCCGTACACTTTGCCACCTGTTATATCCCTATACGCATACATGGATACCTTATGTATGCCGATGGTATAACCTCCAGGGCACAATCTTCCACCAACTAGTTGAATTAGACTACGGGATCTGGCCTTCAACCAATGATAGTTACCAATCGCTGACGCAATATGTATCGATCTAATCTCATGAAGTGCACATTGATATCTCGCAAAATCAGGTTTGGAAATGATACATATTTTATTCACTTAAAAATCAAAACAGATCAAATAATATCGATCGAACATTAATTGTAACGTACATTTAGCGATAATGTATATAATTGAAACGTTAAATTAAACGGCCAGTAAGAGTCAATGCTGTTAATAGCGCGTACTTATTTTTTTAAATAGCTTATTTATTCAAATAAAAAAAAGTATAAGTTTATCTTATTCGTGGACATAATTCGAACATTTTGGCTCTTCTTTAAACCAACTTCAGTGAAGTAAGGAAATAAATTGTTCGGAATACAAGTTTACAATTAACTTGTTGTAAAATTCTACTGTCAGACTGACTTACATGTCTTTCTCTTGGAACGAAACGTGCACCTCGGAATCGCGCAAAGGTAGAAAAAATACGCGCATCCTCGCGATTCCGAGAAGCTCTTCTCCACGAAGATAGTCCTCCCGGCAAGTTGCCTCAGCGAGCAATCTCACGAAATTGCATCGCGCGATTCCACGTCGTTCCGTCGACATTACCGTTCGCATTCCCAGCGTTCTCTTTTTCCGAGTCCTTCGACTTTCATTTGACTGACGGAAAGAGATGGGTTGAGAGGGTGAAAAAGTATATAAGGAAAAGAGTGGACAAAAAGATCTGTAATAAGACAAAAGAAGAAGGAGCAGAGAAAGAGAGAGAGAGAGAGAGAGAGAGAGGAGGGGGAGGGGGAGGGAGAACAATTTTTCATTCATAATCGATATTCCACTGTTATCAAAAACAATCGATTTATCATCATAGTCAATATTACTGTTGCCAAAAATAATAAAAAATAAGTGTTAATTTATAAAAATGTAAGAACAAATATACAGCACACACGATTATTATTTTAATTTGTCTTGAAATTAAAATATCGTCAAATGTACATTCAAATGTTATTTTTCTTCACATATTTGTCTTCACAATAATATTCTCGGACAGATAGACATACACATTTTCTATTTTCCATATCTCTGTCAGCCACGCAAAAAAGTAGGTCCAACGGGAATCAAACTTGAATTTAAGCTTTTACATAATATATAGCTATGTCGCTGAATTGAATATATCATTTAGTGCCTGCTCATTCGTATGCGATCAGTATATTCTAGTTGTAACTTGTATATCGTAAAAAATCTTTAAAAAAATTCCATCCGATCTATATTTAAAACCAGTTTCTAGAGAGAAGAGTTTCATCGTTTCTTTCTTCAGACGTACTTTCTATAGAAATTTTTCTTAAAAACACAAAGTTAATTATAGTGATGAAGACAGAGCATATATATTATTATATAGATACATACAAATTACTTACTTTTATGACATAAAATAATATATATAGCAAAAATAATATAAATTGTATTTTAAATACAATTATATAGATTGTAAAATATAATGTAGATTGTAAAAATTAAAGCAGAAAAATGATTACAAATGACACACATGAAAATATATATATATATGTATAAACACTTACCCGCGCTTTCGGCGTCTGTTTCAGTCCAATGGCTGGTTGGCTGCGATTACTCTGCAAGAGAAGAAAAAAAATCCTTATTATAATAAAACGGCTATTACTTTATAATGATTGACATTAAATTCTCTAAACTATAGCTTATATATGCCGTCGTTTCGACAGATACATACTTTCAGTCCGGAAAATAAAGAGACGAACCGCGATAAATCGTTATCATAAAAATGCGTTGCTACAACGCGCCAAACGCGAAATACAAACTCGCGGCTGCACGGATCTCTATCTATACCGTAATTTAAATGTACGTTTATATAGCGCGATTTGATGGGACGACCAAAAGCGCATTGAACGGACGCTTAAATTCAAAATGCGTGTTTCCGACTTTCGACCCGTCCGTGGATCCTCGCCGGACAACCGGAAGTATCTATCTTCGTGGAGAAAACAGATCGCAGAGATCGAGCTCACACCGTTTGCCTCCATTTATGACGTTCGGCGGACTATTTCCGTGTCGCAAATAAATCCGCTTCGGATGCACCGAAGCGGCCTTTTGCACGATATCGCCGCGACCGATACGACGCTACAAACGATAAATTCACGGCAAAACATCAGCCCGGACGGTATCATCGTGAATGCCCATCATTGCTGCGGAATGGCGTAAATCTTAATTGACTTGGCGAAACATGATCGTGCTTTTTCGTGTCGTGATTACATTACGAACGATGACCGTCAAAATCGGGTCGGGCGAAATAACTTCACGTTGCAAACTTATACCAGTAAAATGACGAACTGGCTAAAACGAATCACGTATCTCACAGCGATTTAATTAAATCGTCGCGCTCGCCATACATCCCGATGTTGATGAAACTGTTTTCGGAGTCGATATGCATTTTTATTCGTGCTGATTGCCACTGTATTTACAACGCACTGGTTCATCTCTTTCACAGATGTTCATTGAAACAACAGCGAAAGTAGTGATTTTTTCGATTTTTGTGATATTCTTTCTTGACTTCATTTTTTCGCAGCAGAAAATGAAATATGTAACTTTTGTTTTTTTCAAATATAGCTTATTTTACATATTTATCAAAATTTATTAATCTTATAATTCGCGTATCGTGTGCTTTTTAAAAGAAAATATTCTTTAATTAAAGATAAAAACCTGTGCAACTTGTCAATCCAGGTTATTAATGTATCCAAGAATTTTATATTTACAGGAATATTCTTTTCACTCTTCAAGAAATTTCGATCTATACTAGAGACATCGGATTGATAGTTTTCTATCATGTTTGAAGCAAAAACAGGAATATTTCGGCATAGCCCATTAGTTTTGATGCTTCAATGTCTCCTGAGTGATAATTAGCCGCCTTTAGCGACATTTTGCTAGTCCAAAAACGGCCAAGAGATATACCGAAGAGAAACAAATGAGCTTTGTACGAGACGTGATAATTAAGCGGTTTATCTCGATTAATTCCGGATAATTACGCTTGGCAATTAGTCCAATTGCTGCGACTGTCCAATGCAGCGTGAGTGGCGAGGCCCTCTTGCTACTCTTGGCCCCCCCAATTGCAGACGACGAAACCGCGACAACTGTGCCGCTCTTATAGCTGCTACGGATTTTGCTGGTCGCTCTGGATCTCGAAAATTGCCTCGTAAACCAAGGACGCCGACGGACTTGAGCACTTCCCCAGTCATATTTCCACTTGGAACCGTCGCCCAATTTAAACCGTCATTTACATTTTATCACGTAATAAGCGAACGACGAGCGCAAATTACATAGTCAAATATTCGCCTGGTTTCTGGTCTTGTGTTAGACGCAAAAGCAAATTTCAGTTTTCTTCTAGTCGGTATTCTCGCATAGCTGTCAAAATTATGCGATCTATCAAACTTAAATTCCACAATAATAAAAAAATACGTTTCTAAAATTATTGAATAGAAAATACTGGCAAGTTTCGGTGTAACTTCCAATCTCGCGGTTGACGAATTTGACAGTAATATCGATCGCCATTACAATATTTATAATATTACTCTAAATTTTCCATTTCGCGCTTGTTTTATGTCACGCTGCGTATAATATTCTAAAACAATTCGACCTACTTCGAGTAATTACAACTCATCCAGTTTTCTTAGCCTATTCATTTTTTCGACTTCCGCTCATTCTCCAACGTTGACCGTCCATTTTACTTTACTTTTCCTTTTTCTAATCAAGATGTGACTTGTGTCAAAAGCATCACAAAGCCAAAGAAATAAAAAAAATAGAGCTGTAAATGAAAAGAAGGTACAATAAGATAGGAACTTGGAGGAAAAATCACAACTGCCAAAAGGAAGTGCATCGATACGGGCAAATCACATCGTCTTCCGCCGAACTTTTTCTTCCCGCTTGCCAGTCTCCGTCTCGTACGAGAAGTTTCGACGGGCGTTCACCAGTGAATTTATCGGCATTGCGGTCTATTAACTCGTAATGGCATTAAGTCGACCTGCCGATACCTGATATGCCGTATAATTATTTTCTGTTTAAACGCGTTCCAGATTATATGATAGCTTCACGCGGCTTTTTTTCCAATGTATTTAACAGCAAACTTAATTTGTGCATACATCAATCACGTTTTATAGAGAATGAGTATCCATACGTAAATTCTATGTGCTATAATGAGGTTACGCAGCAGATAAATCAAATAACAGATAAAGATATCATATTTGAGAAATAAAGAGCATATCATCATAAATATTGCGGAAGTAGAAAAAGATATAAGGTTGTTGCAACAGAATGCATTATTATTATATCTCGAACAATCACCTTATTTTAACTTTTTTAAATTTGTTATAAAAATAACAAATTTGTTATAAAGACATCCTTGTCATGTCATTTTCACGATCGATGACAGATATACCTAAAATCCTATCCATTGTATATTTCTTCGACGTTAGCCCCAGGTGAAATCCATTGCTGATTGGTTGATAGACAAGGATTAGTTAGGCTATATCGTTACTACGATTAATTCCAGCCAGCGCCAGAAGCGTTTCGAATTGAAAACAAATCAATCCAGTAGAATGAAATGTGGCACGAGAACTCTGGGTATCAGAACGTTCGGGAAAATCCATCAGCAGGTCACGTACAAAGGAAACGGGAATTCCATTTCGCGGAGGAAGCCTCTGACGTCTCCGATGTGCCATTTCGGATAATTATTCAGTTACAATGAGCGCTTTAGGCGGCTGTGATCGTAGAAAGCAGATGATATTTGATTTTGGACACATAGACGCGTGCACATAGACGCGTATACCATTTAATATCGGTTCGTCTAGTTTAACGCGATTTGCTCCATTTACCATCTTGCACATTTTTCCCTTTTTCTAGTATCATATTTTAACAATTCGTAACTTTCATAAAAATTTTATATTTTATATAATATAAAATTTTATATTTTAATATAAAACAGATACAAAAAATCGAATATAAAAATCCACAGTAAAGTGGCCGATTATAAACATTGCCATTAATAATGTTTAAGTAAATAAATTCTTTATTAGAAATAATAAACAGAAATCCGTGCAATAATTAGGAAATCCGTTGAACGTGTTTTGTGTAATGGCAGGAAGACAATCGATTTCTAATTAATTATATGTATATATCCTTACGCAACCCAAACTGCATTTCGATCGCTAAGCCGATAATAAAACTATAATTCCGATTTGTATTGTCCATATATATATATATTAAAATTAATTAATTCCTTTAATCTTATATTTTTGATTGGTACAATCGTATCGATTAATAAAATTGTATAAAATTAATACGTCGAGATATATTCATGGTAGAACAAAAATACCATTTCAATGATATTTTAATTATATCAATACATACTTTTTTTTTATTGTTATAACAATGTAACGATATCATTGATAAATTTTTAATCACACCTAGCGCATTGGCTTAAATACTGGCTTAGTTAATGCTTTTATTTTAAATCAAAGTATTGAGAAATTTTTGCTTTATAAATTTCAACTACGAGTGCAAGAGTTTGCAGATATTAATAAAACGATGTTCGTTTTTTGCATGTAATAGACTAAAAATCCTAAACTCTATCTTGTGTCATCTTGAAAATCATTGTGTATTTTACTTTATGATAAATCAATGATAAATTACTTCTGAAAAACTGTATCTGACATAAGAGAGACGAAATATTAATATAGCATTAATATAGCATTACAAATTGTTTATTTATATCTTTTTGTAGCGCGTCTATTAAAATTTTACAATAATATTTCCGATGATAAATGTTTGATTCAAACATAAATTTTGCTAAACTTTTTAGCAATATATATAAAATCTCTTTCTACATCTCTCTCTACATATTTTCTGTTCTTGAGTAAATCCTGCTGAATAATAAAAAGTAAGTTCTACTCTTATTCTCTCCTTTTTTATATTTTCCGTTTTTCTTTTGTTCAGATCGAAATAATTATAAGTAGCAAATAGCGTTCTCTTAAAAGATAAATCAAAAAAGATAAATCAATTTGTACTGTTGTATTGTTATTTGCTAAAATTTTAATATATTTTTTTGCATTATATATTTAGCATCTCTTAAATAATTTTGTTTAAAATAGAGATAAACAAATTGAGACAAGAAATGCTAATTCTCGCAAAAGTTTTGCACTTTATATTAACTCCAAAATAATTTATGTAAAATGCTCAAAAGATATGTATGTATGCATAAGGATAATGTAAATTTAATAAGTCATAATGTAGTTATTTTATTTTGATAAAAAGCAAATTTCAAATTTTGAAGTAATTTACACTTTATTTTACTGGATTAATATAATTATAGTTATAACATAAATAAAGGTATAATTGAATATAATTTATTTGATGAAATGCACGTTAAAATAAATAAATTTATTCGCATAAAAATGTCCGTAACAATAAAATAATGGTAGATTTGTAAAACGTACGTTAAACATTTTGATTTTTATTAATTCATCAATAAATAGCTGTTCAATTTAATTTATTTAAATACAAAGAGGTTACTGGTAATAAAGTTTACAGTTGGTTTCATTAATTGCAAATA